GCTCCCAAGAGTTACAAAGAATTAAAAAAAAAAAAAAAAACATAAAGGGAAAACTCCCTAGACCTAACGTAATCAAATACAGAAGGTTGCTTACAATAATCAAAGAATTTTATAAAAAATTCTTATCAACATTCTAAAATTCACTGAAGAAAAACTGGTGAGGACAAAATCAGTTTCTTTAAAAAGAATGAAACTTCAAAAAGTCTGAAAAAAATCTTTAAAAAAAATTAATTCAAACTGCCAAGAACAATTTAATCTTTAGAATTAAAATTAAAATGTGTGCATGAAAATGAAAAAAGTGTACGACTTTCTTCGAGATACAAAATGGTTAGCACCTTCATAGGGAAAAACACTGTAAACTTGCATTTAAGCTCTAACTATTTCCTTTTCTTCAAAGCTTTTGTTAAGCTCATTGTTTAACAGTCTGCTGTTGCACTTATTCTTGCTAACTTTTTTTTTCTGGTATTTTTAACTTTATTATTAAGCATTGTTTTATTTGCACTTACCATATAAAAATTAAATTCAACATTGTTTGGTATTGCCTATGTAGTGTTAAGTAATAGCATACACATTTCTTCCTGACCCCCCAATCTTTTCTTCAATGCACCATATCAATTATCAGTTTTCTTGAAATTGAAAAGTAAGAAATTAATATTCTTAAGAACTACATCTATTGTTTTTAAATAGCTTAATTTAATTCACAAGAGTGAGATTCAGTTTGAAAGATAAATAATTATCTTATGCCACCAGACTTAAATGAAAAGTGAAATGAAGCATCGATAGTAATTTGGCACAGAACCTCATTTTGAGACTAATAGCCCCTTTTTGGTCAATAAACGAACAGATACATGCAGAATCTTAATTTGCATTATCTATCCACTTATGAAATTCATTCATTTAGTACAGTTATTGCTACTAACATATTTTCTCAGAGACATACAGCAGTTTATGGAAGAAGACAGACACACCTTTTACCAGTACTATATAAATAAGGCAGAAAAATTCACACCCTTATAAGCTAATATTATAGTGAAATTATAAGCTAGTATTATATTCATTTATTTAAAGTATTCTGTTCATATAATTAAAAAAATTAGTTTCTGTAGATACATATTAGACCACTAAACTATATTAAAATTATATCTTGCAAAGCACTGCTTTTTTACCATTTATTTCAGAAGGCTGCCAAATTTTTGTCAGAAAATTTGCTTTCTGCAAACAAAACCTGGTGTTTAGCAACTTTTTTTTTTAATCTATAGCAACTAATTTTAATTGATACTGTTCCATCTTAATGCATAGGATAAGATAATTTTTTTAAATCATTCTTAAACTCAATATTTGAAATCTTACTTTTTAAAAAGACTAAGAGAGAAAATATCCTCCCCCGGAAAAAAAAAAAAAAAAAAAAAAAAAAAAAAAACTTTTCTGGATTTTTTTTTTTTTTTTTTAAACTGCAATCAAATAACTTACATTTTAACTCATAAAAATCCTACTATACAATATGTAAATAAAACTGTATCTTATTAAAAATATTGAATATTTTTAGATTTTTATTTTTATACTGTAAAATAGACTAAGGTGTACAACAAATAAAAAATTATTATAGTGATTTAGTGATTGTTAATGCATTAGCTGCTAAATTTTCTTTTACATTCTATGAGCTTTATTTCAATATTTGGCATTACAGCATCTGATGACTTTTAAACATCAATCAGTAAACAGTTACCAATGCAGTTTGATAGAGCATTGCAGCACGGTACAAAAATCTCTGAATTTTTAAATTTCGATTTTTATTATACATGAAAGAATTTCGGAGCGAAAATATTTGTTAAATATTATTTGCATATTTTTTTATTCTGTTTTTCTTTATTTGATAATAGAACCATAATTATTACTGAAAGTCAAAATATTTTTAAACTGACGACCCTTTCTGGGTGTTGGCCCCCTGCAGTGCAGCCTTACAGGCCGTGTAATCTAAAGTGAATGGAAATTATGGTTTAAAAAATGGAATCGAGTTCATTTACTTGTCCTAATTTTTTTTTGCATTTTCCACTCACAAAGCTATACTGTAAAACATGATAGAGGAAAAGGACTTTGAAACATAAATACTTGACTTATATCCTGCTTACTTAGACCAGCAGTGTCTCATGCTTCACAAAGTGATTACCATATTTCCTCTTTTATCTTTCCTTCAGACCTATTAGCGCATCAAGTTCAGGAAATTTTATAAATATCTGCATACTTTTCCTCTTTCTCAGTGCATTTAGACAATGAGCTCCCTTACTTTCAAAATGAATTTGCCCATGTACGGATTGTTTTTGTCTTACAAAAATGAACCCTTGCAAACTACTTGTGAAGGCCACACCAAACGTCACTCACTCACTCTTCTCACTGTTGAATTTTATGACAGCCTAATAAGAGCGGAAAAGATTCAAGTTCCTGGAAAGTAGAAATGAAGATATCTTATTAGATATTGTAATGTTAATACTATTATGTATTCTTATTGAAATGTACGTTTCTCTTAATAATATATTTGTGATAGTTAACCATAGTAATCCATAAACATTTTACATTTGTTATAAACTTACTGTAGCCGTGTTCTTCGGAAATTAAATTATTCGCATATTTTATCATCTTGATTTTGGGGCAATAAAATTAGTTTTTTTTTTTTTTTTTTTTTTTTTTTTTTTAAAGGACAAAATAAGGTTTGTGATTCTTCTGTGTTAAGAAACGGGCTTCTAGTTTCTTTGCACGATGCAATCATACAAAGAACAATAAAAGCAATAAAGCTAGTTTACAGTTCAGAATTCCTGAAATGCAACTGGAAGGTTTTTGTTACATTTAATCTCAATGAAATTGGGGATCAGTTTCTTAAGACTTTAGTAAAAAGTTAAGGTGATTTAGAAATTTCTGTCATTTCAGGTGAAACTTTATGAAATGATTAATAGTTGAAGGCATGGCAAGAAATGAAGAATAAAAATCAGAATTAAGTAACCAACAGTAAAACCTAAAACATTTAAACAAATTCACACTCAAAGTGAATAAAAAAATAAGAAATTGGGTACAAACAAGCATTAAATCAAATGATGCAAAATACAATATCAAATAAGAAAAAATGAAAAACAACCTAATGCAGAAAAAGGGGTAAACATTAAAGAACTGGAAAAAGCAAAACTCATACACAGAAAGTTTAATCCAAGAGGATGAGATTTTGAAAGCATATCAAAACTGTAACAAGTTGTAACATGAGAATAAAAGAACATTCAAACAGCTGGTTCAGAGAATGCATCCTTAAGTTCTGTGAACATACTAAGACATCAGTTATAAAGTGTTAAAAGAAATATATGTAGAATACAAAACAAAGATAAGCATTCTTTTAACCAGGACTGGAGTCATGGAGTCGAAATCTGAGTTGCTCAGATTTGAGGGTAAAAGGAGTCGAAGCTGGAGTCGCTAAAAACAAGTCGACTCCAGTTTTGTTGAACAGTCTGAAAAATTAATGACAAGCTGAGTTATTATTTTTATTTATGAACTATATACATTAATAAATAGTTATTTTCTATTTTATCAACATATTAATAAATAAATATAAGGGAGAAGAATGGATGTGAAATTTGCCATTAGTGATTAAACTGATCCATTTCGTTACAAATCTCGGTGGTAAATTTAGGTAAGCAGCAATAGCAGCAACAACACCCAAAATTGATGCCATTCTTAGAAAGCGAGCAGGGAAAGGAGCAATTATTGATCAAGTAACATGATAAAGAAGTACATATTTGATGATTAAAGAGGTTGTTAGAATTCAGAAGTTTTTTACAAGATCTAGATAACCCTAATGCTTTACTAACAGAAAAACTGTGGAGTGATCTTGCAGAATTGGAAATTCTTCTTTCTACACCATATATAACCACAAAAAAAACTACAATCTGAAGAATGTGATTTTGTTCTTTCTGAAATGGAGAGTTTATTGTAGTAGGAATCATTTCTTCAATGAACAAAAGAGAAACTATTTTGCTAGACAATGAGATCTTGCTGGGTTCAATACATGTAGATTCGAAACACTGACTTTTCTTGGATGACAAGCAAATTAAAAAGGCAAAGAAAGCCATCTATGAACTTTTTGAATCAGAACAGTCAAACTGCAGACATTGCAACTGAGTCTCTATCATCCTCTTCCAACGAAGAATTATATTTTGAGAAATATTTGTGGATAATATTGAAAAGGCTAAAGCAAAGCGAATGAAAATAAAGAACCAAGAACCTTGAACCTTTAGATATGAAAATGAAAAAATACAAACAAGATTTCTACATGGCCTTTGCACAAATAGAGAAATATGATTGTGCTTGTAAAACACCTCTTTTAGAACTTATAAAAATCTATCCTGAAAAGTTAAAAAAAGTAGCCCTTAGAGTAACAGCTCTTCCTCCTACTCACATCAGTGTGGGAAGTTCTCAGCTCTGAAGTTTATCAAATCAGATCTATGACCCTCCAACAAAGAAGATCTCGTCGAAGCTATACTGTTTCTTAGAAATAACTAACTCCAGTTTTTCCATTTCATAACAAATGCTAATTAAGATAAATAATTTGTTATGCCATTAATTTTTTTTTTCTATAGCATCTATTACTTTTTTATATTAAAAAAAAATAAGCTGTAACCCATGTGTATATGTTTACATATATATATATGAGGGAGTCAGAGTCTTTAAAATTCCAGGAGTCGGTCATTTTCCCTACTGACTCTACAGCCCTGCTTTTAACAACTATCAATTTTTATGAATTCAGGACCTGAAATACTGTACATGCTCTATATATTTTAGAATCCTTTTTGATGACCAAAAACTTTGATGATGCATTGTGCATGTCCACTTCATTTATGTGGTCGTAAAAATGAAAATACTTCAAGTGTAAGAACATCTTTGTTTGATGTATGCTGATATGAAATTTTTACTCTGAGAAAATTTCTGCTGCTGTTGTATAAAATAAAAAAAAAAGGCTGATATTTTCTAGGAATTTTTTTTATATATTTCTAAACAAAACACCAAAATCCTAAAATACAATAAAATACATATAGTAATATATACAGAAAATTACAGACAGCATTTGGTTTCAGCAAGCTGAAAGCCCAATTATTTTATGATTCCTTCTATTGCATAGAGCTGAAAGAAACATTCCCTGCTTTCTTTTTCACTTTCCCTTGTCTCAGAACCATTGAATGCATGGATGGTGATTGCGAAAGGTTTTTACTTTGATTCATTGAAGATTTGTCCAGTATGGAAGAACCATCAGATGATTCTAGAATGGGGTGCAACCTACTGAGAGGAAAGAACAAACAAATTTTCAAAAGCTAAAAAAGTGTGCATATTTGTAGATTTCAAATTATAATACTAGCACATTTATATTATCATGCCAAGCCCATCACATCTGAAATATTCAATGATACCATGGATCTAATGCCTTATATTCTTCCAATACATCATGACTATTTTCAAAAACTTTTTCACAATGATAAAAATTAAAAATGGCAATATTAATATATTGTTATTAAAGTAATTTAAATGGCATTATCTACAGAAAAATTGGGGAAGGGCCTTTTTTGACATATTTAATAAAAATTTTATAAAGAATTGGGATGATTCAATAGAAATCCCATATTTCATAAATGTACGATTTTCACATTTTGCTGATTCTGAAAGTGGTGTAAGTCCATTTGTATATATCAAAAGTATAAATTCCTCTTAATTAATACTTTAAAAATGATCAAATTACAAATTTAAATCAATTTAATATTTATAAAACATAAAATGAGCATATTAACATATAGTAATATTTTTCAAACCATTCAGATACAAACTCTTAAATATCTACATATAATATAAAATGGACTTGCACCACTTTCAAAGAAAACACCAAATTAAGTATAAAACCTAGTAATAGCTAGACTTTTCTTTCCCAGCTTCATGCTATACTTTTCTTTTCTTCAATCTGCTTTAACCCTTTGCAGCACCACATAAAAATTTCCTTCTGTACGCACAGAAAAATTGAATGAAAAAGGATTTATAGGTTGCTCTGAACCTTCTTTATTTATAGTAGATGGCAGCTCAACACAAACCGGTTCATATATTTTAGCCAAGCTTAGTTTTTTAAGACCCTTATATTTCAAAGAAATCTTCCAGATAATTTTTTTAAAGGGTTTAAAAGGAACTGTTTGAAAAGAAATTTCTATTTTATTATTATTATTATTATTATTATTATTATATTATTTATTTATTTATTTTTAAGTATCTTCTTATTCTATATTAGTTTTAAATGTTTAACTTGAATCTTGCCTAAAATTGAACAGCGAACCTCAGGTGTGCCCAGATGGGCTCACCGATAATCTAGGACAACTGAGAGTATGCTTTTTTTGTTTTCCGCATCTCATCAGTCAGTTCATTGACAACAGAAAGATGGGTCCACCACATCTGAGTTTCATTTCCTGTTTTTCTCTTTCTTCTTTTCTTTCTCTCCCTCCCTTGTTTTTTTGGGGGGGGAGGGGGAAAGGCGGCATTTGGTTATTAACTAACAAATTGTTGCGGTGATTTTCTGAAGGACAACGGTAATTTTATCAGTTAGCTGTTTGGTTTTTCACTAGAGCAGTTCTCTTTTTCTCGTTTGCTTTCGTTCAAAGTTTCACTAGAGCTACGTTTAATAGTTTTGAGTTGTAGACATGAATTTTATTTTATTTTATAGTTTATAGTTTCTATAGCTATAATATTAGTTTATTTTATTTATTTATTTATTTATTTTGGATTCTTAATTATTTTCCAAATGGATCGGAGAGGGCTGACCATTTCTGAAGCACTGAAAGTACTACACGAATTGCTTTGAGATAGTGAATCTGATACAGATCGCAGTACATGTGCAACACATCCAATATTGGGTTGTGCTTTTTTAAAGGTGGTGTCACTTTCTTCGAAAAGTACCACCATGAAAAAAATAAACTAAAGTGTAAATATGAAATGTAAATAATGTAAATACCATATATCCAAGTTACTTTTTTCCCATTCATAAGCATGTAATCATCACATAACCAAAAAAGAGCTTTTTAGAGGGGTGTAGAGTAGCAGGTCTCTCCGTGGCACATGCTGGGTAATGCTAAATATGCTACGGTATTCAGAATCTAGTGTTTTTTAATCATAGGCAAAATTTCGTACTTTTTTATGCGCTTCCCAGCAATGCTCGTTTCAGCACACTTTTCGAAGTTCTATTTCATCAGTGTGCCCGCTTCGGGCATACCCACATAATTAAAATGATAAGTGCTATCTTCACAAAATTTTACTTGTGTACTCCTCTAGGCCTATAGACTGCCTACCTTTTTTTTTTTTTTTTTTTTTTATGTAATCAAAATTCCAACTTTAAAAGGTGGTGTGCGGGAAAGGGTTTTAATCTTTAGACCAAGGTTTGGAAATCTATTTTGTGAGTATTTGTTATGGCATTCAAATGCAAAAGATTATTGTTTTCAATTAAATACAACAATTAACAGTTCTTTAAGAAATAGTGAAACATTAAATGCATTAAAATTGGCAAAATTATGGAAAAAGAGCACAGTTTTGTCTTTGGTAGTTGAATTTTAAGTGTAAAAGTTTCCACATGGTACTTAATTTTTGATGGAATATCACAGAAATCACAAATAATCTTAGATTCTCAAACTAGCTGGTGTGTCACAACTGCTCAGCTTAAAACAAATTTCAAAATGTTACACTGAAATCTGAATATAGCTCACAAATTTATATGTATTTTTCATTTTTTCAAATTTTTAAAAGTTAACTCTTGTTTGAGGAGTTACACTGCAATGCAAAATTTTCAACTTGCAAATTTCTTCCGTTTCATTCATTTTGTTGGAAGAAATAATGTAACACCAAATTGAAATAGACGCTTGATGCTTGAAAACACAAGGTAACCCAAAACTTCCTTGCCATTTGTGACTTTCAGAAACAGACACACATAAAGTTATATCTTAAAGTAATCTCCATCAGCATCCAGCAAACTCTGCCAGCATTTTTGCACCAGTGCTATGCTCTGGCGATAAAACTCAGCAGTCTTGGATGCAATCCATGTTTGTATGCCACAGGTCTGCTTCGCTGTCAAAGGATTCTCCACAGAGGTGCTTTTTCGCTGAATAAGTAGGTGGTAATTTGTCGGCATTAGGTTCAGCAAGCAAAGAATCGTCCAGCCAAGTGACTGAATTGTATCCCTGGTTGACTTTGTCATGTGCTTACTAAGTCCCATTATTATAGAGGTACAGCACACCCTTGCAATTAATAGTCTGGGTACTTCTGCTTCAATGCCTGCTGCACCTATTGTAATTGCTGTGAGTACAGGTCTTTAATGATGCTGTGATGTGGTTGCAGTAGCTTACACAACATAGCAACTAGTCCAACAAGACACAGAGCATGATCTTGCATAGGTACTGAGGTAATCTTAAGATGTGGCGTGCATGGTGACAACCAGTTTTTAGTACGTTTGGAAGTGTCAAATAGGGCTCATTTTTCACTACTCATGAGCATTCAAATATGAATGTGCTGTAGTACTGAGACAGTAATAAGAGATAAATTGTCACTCGTGGTCCCTTGTGGGCTACTGACAATGTTGCTTAACTTGTCCATTTTCCCTATGTGATACAAGTTAAATCTGACCATTCTCTCAGGAACTTCAAAGTATTTGGCAGGTCCACCATCCGTTTGACTATGGCTGCCTTTAGGGCCTCATCATCCAACAATCACCACCTACTCCGAGGGTCATTACAAAGGCTTAGATCTCTCAAACTGAACTTCTGAAATTAATACCTACCTGTGTGTTAGTTCCCAGCACCTTCCTTAATTCCTTACATATTTGATGACTTGATGCAGCTGTTGATAAGCCCACCCTAAAGTCATACAACAAACAGCCATGATGAGCTGCCTCAATACCTCTACACTAACCCTCCATTGTTTTCCAGATTGAGTTAGTTTGTTTCCGCTCTGCGAGTGCTTCATAAAATGGGATATCAAAAACACAAATATCTTTTTAGTTATCTTATAAATACTGCAATGCTGGAGAATAAATAACCAACTCGAATTAACTCTCCCCCCAGTAATATCTTGAAAAGAGAAAAGTTTGATATTTTTAGTTAATGTTTTTTATTTATTTATTTATTTATTTATTATTTGTGTGCGTGTAAATAAAATGAAGCAATTAAAAAAGTAATTTTATGTGGATTTTTTAATAATATCTTGCAGTAAGTGTTAAATTACTATCACTATTACCAATAAAAAGTGCTCCTATAATAAGTTGAAGCCAAAATCTCTAACTCTACATCTTGTGTACAATACCATCTACATGTACATTATCTAAAAATAATGACAAAGTTTTATAGTTATATATATATAGCAAATATTTTTCTTTGTTTTTCCCATAAATTTTGTCCAAACACAATAATGCATTATTTAAAATTTGTTTAACCCTCTGACTGCTGAATTCGTGGACCGAAATCACTTAAAAAATTGTGCAATTCCACATGTTTTGTTTGTTTTCCACAATTGCCACATGTTTTTATAGCATTTCAAAGCAAGTAGACAATGTATACTATTTTTGTCAATAACAGAAATGAGGCCCAATGGGGGGGGGGATAAATAATTTCACTAATTCAGAAATTCAAAATGTCAAAGAAATTAGCTGCTAAAATATGTTAACATACTCTGTCTGGTGATGTAACACTGCTTGATGACTTTCCAGAATTAAGAAATGCTGCTAAATTAACTTGGGTTACCTAAAGTAATTTAGCAGCCTAATTATCCAAAACAGTTATGCTGAATTAGTTTGGATGCACATGTTTCATACAATAATTTTATGAAAATATTCACTTTGAATATTTATGCAAAATTATATTCATAATTAAAAATTATTTTGTTATATGATAAGTAATGAAGAAAATTCATTACTTGGTTTTCTTTGCTATGGCTTTCTTCTTTATTGATTTTGCCAGCTTTGTAGCAGTTAAAGCTTTGGATTCTGGTGCTTTCTCTTGCATAATTTTTTCTAATATGGCATCCACAGGAGGTTTCTTCTCTTGGAAGGAAACATTAGATGCAGTTGATGAAAAAGAACTCTCCATTGATTCACTTAATCTCTTCTGCCGCAGTCTTCCTCTCGTCAGAGGAGGCGAGAACATAAATGTGGGCACGGGGTGATCCGGTGGCGAAGACAATGCTTCAAGGACTAGAATTACAAACAAATATAACTGTATCAAATTACAGATTTCAAATGCTTTCTGGAAACAATATTTATCCCCATTAAATAGTAACCTACAGCAAAGCAGTACACAAATCATCATTATCTCCAGAAATATGTAATATGTGGTGAAAGAAACATTATTCATTAACTACAGTAATCGTACAAAGTTTATAAAAAGTATCTATTAGATACATTACAAATTACACCAATAACATTTAATGATAAAAGTAAAAAAAATGGTATCAATTATTAAAAAGCAGATATATTGCTTTCAAATCATTCAGTTTGTTAAGCAATCAATAGTTTTGATTATTTTTTTAATTTATTTTGATAACTTTAATTTAAAAGACCTTATGCTATGTAAAATGAATTGAGAGAAATTCTGGTTGTTGTTTATACTAGTACTTAATTTTTAAGAAGTACTTAATTTTTAAGAAGAACTTAATTTTATAGAAGTACTTAATTTTTAAGATTCATACTTCATTTCTTGTTAAATATGTTTCAGAGTTTATATCTGAACAATGAGAAGGTATTTTGATTATTTTAGAACAACTGCTACAACTAGTTTTCACAAATTCACAACACTAAACTTATTGTACAATTGTCTTGTCAGAAATTTAAATTATTTTTAAGATAACATTCTGTGCTCATAATTTAAAACTTTATCTTTTAAAAATACATCTATATTGATCCACAGTATCATTAACAATGCAAAGATAATGGTTTCCACTACTAACATACACTAGCTCTTCTTTCTACATGTTCCATTAGCATTTCCTAATTTTGTCTTGTAGTCCTAATTTTGAAATTCTGACTTGGGTCAGTGGTCTCAAACTGGCACCCCCAGACAATATTTTATGGCCCATGAAGACATTTTATTATTATTTAGACATTTTGTTGAAAATATGGTGCCGTACAGATTTCAAGATTTTAATTATTTGAAGTCCAAGGTCATATTATTTTCATTTCCATTAAAAAGAAACATGAATAATGCACCAGAAAATCTATAAATGGAGCTAATTAATTTATAATGTGATATAAATCTTATTCAAAGATTTGAAGATAGAGATTTTATTTATTAACTTATTCATATTTTTCAAGACTAATTAATAATTAATTTTTGCACTAAGAATAACTGCTTTGTTTGAGAATATATTTATTTGTGAAAAGCCTTTTTTCACAGTTGAAAATTAATTCAAAAAGAACTGGATTTACTGATAAGCACCTACAATCTATCATAAAGATAATTTTTAGTAATTTCTCTCCAAGGTTACAAATTATCAGAATCAAAACACTATCATGCTATAGTAAGAAATAAAGGAATTAATAATTTGTGTTAAAATAATACACCAAATATTGATTACTGAAGATGCGGAAGCCAACAAGAATGAGTGTAATAAGCATAATATTCACACATTTACAGACTAAAGCAACAAGAATGAGCGTACTATTCACGCATTTGCAGACTAAGGCAACAAGAATGAATGTACTATTCATGCATTTGCAGACTACATTTGTATGAACAAGAATCAATGTAATATTCATACATTTGTTAAAATATTAGACCATTCTTATTGCCTTAACATTTTCAGTAAGATGATTATTATTTACATATAAACATATGTATTTTTATTAATGCATTAAAGAAAAATGTAAGAAATAAAAGAAAAAAGGACTGGGTTGCTATTACTTACAGTCAAGTATTGTCTCTCTTAGTAAAATTTTTTTGAAAACCTAAAAAGGTTTCATAATTAAAGTTTAAATTAAAGTAAGTTATTTAATTATTAATTAAACACCTTAGAATGGTCGAAGTGGCATCACACAATTTTTGGAATAGAGAATAATATATTTAATGTTTGGCAATGCTATTTTTATTTCATATTTTGTAAAACTTAAACATTTTTTTATTAAGAAACCCTACGATTTGAGAGCGAGCAGTGGCAAAAACTTCTCAAAATAAAGCAGATTTTTATCTCCAGCATGCAAGACTGTCACCACTCAGAAAAATGAGGGAGGAAATTAGCATTTTCAGAGTTTTTAATTAACGTCTTGGTAAAGAAAGTGTTAAAAAGATAAGAATGGTCGAAATAGCTTTCCACAAATTTCTGGAACCCAAGGAGTACCTCTCTCGAAACTCAACTCTCCACAATTGTGGAGGAGATTATGCCACAAACAAACAAAAAGGAAGGCAGATTTTAATAGTATAAATTTTTAAAAACACTTAAAAGTATTATTCAAACTAAAAATGAACTCTACAAAAATTAATATAAATTTTTGAAAACAAATAGTCTATATCTACATGACATATATTTAAACACAGAGAAGTTCAGTAGCCAAAAAGAAAAAAGGGAAAGAGGAAGATAATCACTTTCGGGTCCAGCTGGAGAATGTGGCTCAGCAAAGGAAAATTCTGTCTTCTTAGAAATTTTATCTACATAGGGAGGGAGAAAAATTAAATAAAATAAACAATTATAATTTATCTTCATAATAAGAAATAATTTTCAAGACTCAGTTAATACCAGTCAAGGTTAATCAGCTTTTATCCATAACTATTTCCTTACATGTTATAGGCTGATATATGCCCTTTACATCAGTTTTGTAAAGCTCAAGGAAAGTACTCAATAAAATTATGTTTCAATTAAATCAAGTATGTTCTTTTGGTAGGCAACAGGCAACCACATTTTCTACAACATATTACTCTCAACAACATTAAAAACCAAATAACACATATCAGAAACGATTATTTTAATGAAACAGGGTGATATATGCTGGCAAAAAATGACTGCTAGTTTTGATAGCTTTGTTTGTAAAATTCAGTCTTAAAACTTCTACACTGTGTATCTTTAAATTAATCTTTTGCTAAGGAAACGCTGAGGTAAACATGCCGTTTCTCCGCCATCGAAGCCAATATCAACAGCTGTCAGAGTTCGAGAGGGGAAGAATCATCAGGATGATGGAAGTTGGGTGGTCAGCTCAGTGAAGAGGAGATGTTGGAACCAGTGGACAGAAAGACGTCATTTATATGGCAATCAGGCTCAGGATGCCCTCAACAGACCAGTCGTCGAGTAGACCAACACATCGTACGACAAGCAGATGTAGAGCCAACAGCCTCATTGGCCGCTATCCAGACACAGGCAGCAGCTTCATTACGGGTCCCTGTGTCTTTCTGAACCATCGCAAAGCAACTGGTTCAAGGATATCTGGTATTGTGGTGCCCATTAAAACACCAACATCTCAGTTTGGAGTGGTGTCACACATGACAGGATTGGATTTTAACGGAATGGAACAAGATCCTCTTCAGCGACAAATCTAGATTCAATTTGACTAGTGATGACAATCGTGTTCGTGTGTAGAGGCTCATGGTGAAAACCTCAATCCTTTCTTCGCTTTACAGTGACACACCGTTCCTGCAGTTGGTGTGATGGTATGGGATGCCACTGCTTACGATACAAGGTCACCCGTAATAATGATTTATGGCACAGTGACAGACCAGCAGTACGATCATGACATCCTTACGCTACATGTGTTGCCATTCATGGCATGGCTCCCAGGAGCCTGTTTTCAACAAGACAATGCTCGGACACACACAGCACGGATCTCACAAGACTGCCTCCACCACATTAGCACCCTTACCTGGCCTGCTCGATCTCCAGATTTGTCATCAAATCGAGCATATCTGGGATCATTTGGCATGGCAAGTTGGACAGTCTACGAGATTGTCTGAACTAGAAGCACATTTACAGCAACTGTGGAACGAGATGTCTCAGGACACCATATGGAACTTGCATGCCTCAATGCCCACTCATATTGCATCGTGCATTTGCGCTAGAGGTGGTCTAACAGAGTACTAAAACATCCGTTGATGTGTACTTTTTTTCTGCAATAAATGATCTTTTTTTCTTTGATTTTCTAATCACTTACTTATATCAAAGTAGTACTTACATATGTAAAATTTCGCTTCATTCTGACAACTTTTTCTTGGTGCACAAATTTTTATGGCAATGAGTATACTTTTACATTACAAAAATCCTGAATAGAAAACAAAGCTTTGATTTATCAAAGTACTTTTAAATACGATGAAAATAAAATTACCATTTAATACATCTACTATTGCACAGACAAATTTAGCAATGTAAACCAGTAAAAAAGGGGGGGAACAGTTTTACATCTCCCGTTCTACAATTGACGAAATTCAACTTGCATTTTTCATGTCTCGAAAGTGAGTCTTAAATTACCTTCACAGAATTTTTCTCTTTTGTGGCAAGAATAATTCACTTGGCGAACTTCTCGGTTTACAACAACTTATTTCAAATTATCTTTCATTCTTCTTAAATAAAAAAAAAAAAGAGAATGTTCTTTTCTGTCTTGCATATACTTTTACTTCATATTATTTTTAATCTCTAGTGCTATTTTTACTCTCCCTCTCTCTTTCTTTTTTTATATATATAGATATATATTTGAGTTGTGTGATAGAATCATAGTGCTTAAAAGTTATTTTAAAAATTGCTATTTACTCATTCCCATCGTGTAATTGAAGCCTTCCCATTGTGTAATTTGATTTTATTTATTTGAATAGCATTTCTTTGGAAAGAATACTTTGTGACCAAGTATTCATCACGAAAGCTTTGAATTCTGTACTAAAAGAGAACATTCCATAAAGCACATATAATACATCTTTCAATGGACTGTTAAAAGATATAAAAATGGGAAAGTTGTATTAGCTACATTTTAATTTAAAATGATATGCATCCAAGCAATTTTCTATGGTTTTATGAATGTCGTTGCTTTTTGCGACACAATTTTATCATCCTGCATCTAGTTAGTTAAAATATTATCCAGATTTTTGAACAAGTTTTAAAATTTTTCATTTTTTAAATTGCAAGAATCAAATAACATAAAATTTAAAAAAAGATTAAATTTTATGCAAATAAATCAAAACAAATAAATAAATATTTTTTTCTTAATGCCTTAAATTTTTCCTCTTAATAGTTTATTTTCTCAAGGAAAAAATTCAGTAATTGATCAGAGTAAAAGAGTGAAGCAATTTTGTCTATGATATTGATCATCTTTAGAAGCTACGGATTTTTAAAGGCACAAGATGAAAGAATAGACTAGTTCAACATTGAAAACAACATTTCAACATTTTTCAGCTAAAATCCATACATTGTTTTTGGATAAATTCATGAATTTTCAATAAATTCAGCTGAGATGTCTATCAGTTCTCCATTTATATCATATGACACTTAATGACATAACTTAAATTTATACAGTTCTTTAATGAAAAACAGTCACTCTTCATGTTATTTCTTCTGTATTTTTCATTGGTATAGCCCCATTCACTGGAATGTTTGATATGCTGAGTGAAAACCTCAGCAAAACATTATTTGAACCTCCAGATATTTCTCCTTGAACATGCAGTTTCTCTTCAACTGATGCTCTTTCTTCCAATTTATTTCTTTCAGAAACATTAGCTTTCAATGTTCACACATGCAGTTCAGTTCTTTCTATAGTTATATTTCTACAAATTTTGTATACATATAAAACTTTAATTCATTTAGTTACATCTTTCAGGAAGACTGCTTTTCATTTTCTAGACTTAACTGCAAATTAAACCGGGACGACAACAATTGAGTTGAAACATGCTTACCAAATGACAGAGGAATAAAGCCTTTACAAGATTTTGGTCAACAGAATCTTTCACTTACCCAGTCTCACTTAGTGCTCTGATATTGATATTGTGTGCAAATATTCTAAATCATATAATTTTGATAAATCTGATGATCAGTAAATGGCATATTAAAGAGCATATTTTTTAATTATCTGCAATAATATAAGGGGGGAACTAAATATTTAAAACATTATTTGTAAGAAGGTTAATATAAAATTATTATTTCATATGTTTTAACTAAAAGACAAGATATGATAAAAGCCATCAAATTCTTACACTTAGTTTATATTGTTAAATATTCAGCTTAAAATTACATACTATGATATAGGTATATTGTGAATAAATTTTCACTTTTATGAGAAAAAGTGAATAACTAATTCAAATATAGTCAAGTTTCAATAAGATAACGCCCCTCAAAAAACAAATATTACAAATTTGACTTTGAATTAGTATTAATTTGAAATAAGTATGTTTAAAGGGGATTCTTCCATAACACCAAACATAGTAGCACACAAGGGTAAACACCAAACATGGTGACCGTTTTTATTTGGCAAGATTTCACTTTGGTTGTGGCTTCCAGCTGAGTCTTTTCGCATTACAAACACACAGCTTCATTTTGTTGATAGCCACTCCCCCCCTATAAAAAAATTTGCAAATGTTATTTAGACTGAACTCTAATTTCTTATTCTGAAAGAAGGAATCAAATGTGTTTAATAAAAAGAGATATTAAATAACTATGTGCCAAATTTAATTAAAATTGAAGCGCTAAAATTTTCAGGCTTAATTTTTTAAAAACTATATGGACAATTTTTATGAAACTTCGAACTTTGACATAATTTAATGGGTGACCAGACAAAAGCCCACTGGACGAAACAGCACGCGACAAAAGCCCACAGAAAAAACCCCACTGTGATAATTGCCCACGCAACAAATGCCCACACCCATAAAAGAGCACATTGATAAAAACCCACGCAGATAAAAGCCCACATTGATAAAAGCTCACACGGATAAAAACCCACACCGAGGTATATGCCGTTGAAATTACACACCGGTGAAATTAATATTTTTCCTCAGTTTCCCCCTCCCCCCCCCAGTTATATAAAGCAGATTCATGAAAAAGATAACAAAAATTAATTTAATTAAATTAATAACAAATAATTGAACAATAAATTTAAGTAACGGAACACATTTTATTTGGAGTTGTGACTGAATTAAAACGTTTTATGTATATAGAAAAGAGAATCAATCAAAATAAAATTAACGTAATTAAAAACATACACATGTATGTGTAACTTTGTTATAATATTTACGTAACAAAGGGAAGTGTCCCTCGTATAAGTCCGAAAAGGGACGTGAAAGCGAATGCTGGCTACACCGCTACTCTTAATTCTGTAAAATTATAAGGCGCATAAAATGCATGTTAATTTTCATTATGTACAGAAAATTATTTAACAGTTCAGAAAATTTGTGTATAATGAATTTAGTGTGGAGAATCAAAGCCTAACTTTTATTTCAACAAAGGAGATAAAAGTACCCTATTCTATTATGATTAAGAAAATATATGTGTGCGCTATCAGAAATACTGTTTTTATAGTGAATTAAAAGCACGGTTTGAAGAATTTTGTTAAATTCAGTGACTTACCAGTAAGATCAATGGTTTTTCACATGATCGGATGTAAACATTTTGTAACTGCGTGGTAAATATACCTATAAATGTATATATTTTCTTTTTCTACAATATTTCAGAGTCCTAAATATGTGAA